GTCATACTTTAATTTTTAACTATTGAGCTATATTGTATGTGAGCTGCATTTGTTTTCCTGGATAGCCTCTGCAAATGTTAGTGGTGAGTCTCTTCTCTCTGAGCCTCTGACACAGGCCCCTCCCTTTCTCCTCCACTGGATTATCTAGCCCCTGAAGGTGAACCAAGGCTTTCTTACCCCGCCCCCCCCGCCCCCCCAGCTCCCCTCTCTATCCCAACTCAGGAGCTCTGGCACCTGTTATTCTCCCAAACTCTCATTCTTAGTGGATTGTCAAGCTTTCTCACAGAGGGCTCAGTGTTAGCTCTAACCTCTTTCTCAGGTGTGTCCCTTTCTTAGTTAACAATGCTACCTTCCTCCTAGATGGCTCCACAGCCTCCCTTATCTTCTAGGACTTTCACTTGCAAACCTCCACACCCCTCCAGGCTCAACTTGCAGGTACTGTGTCTCCTCAGTGTCTTTCCTACAGGCTGGGATTTGGATGAGATGAATAAGGCCAAATTGGGCTAGTGGATGGTAGAATCCTGTCTTTATTTGAAATTTTGAGATTTTCTCATTGACTAGAGGCCTGGTGTACAAATTTGTACATGGGTGGGCCCAGCTGGCCCACCCCGATCAAGGCCAATTGGTGGGGAGAAGGACCAAGGAAAGTCAGCTGCTCCCCCCTCCCCCCGAACTCCTAGTTGAGGGGACAATTTGCATATTACTCTTTTATTATATAGGAGGATTTTTTTTTACATTAATTTAAAAATTTGTATAAAAACATGGCTTTTATTAAATACAGAGTTTTGGGGTTTCCCTTGAATTTTAAACCTAAGATGAATGCCTCAATCATTTCACCCTAGTCCTCTCCCTGTCACCCCGCTTTTTCAAACTTCCCTCCCTTTCTGTTTCCTCTGTGACAGCCCTCAATCTCCAGTCTCCATTCCCTGCTGTGATCCATCCTACAGTTGCACTCAGTATTTTCTTCCTTGAGTGGAAGTTGAGTTGTGCCCATCTCTTCTTCAAATTTCTTCAAAAAGAGTCTAACTCCACTCCCCCCACTACCTCCATATCACTGGGCTCCATGTCAAAGGTTCTGCTAACCTTTCCAGCTTCATTCTCAGCAAACCCCTCAGTTCTATGCTGGTCTACTCAGCCTTCCCCAGAGAAGCCTGTTACCCACCACACTGCCTCTGTGCTGCTCTTCCTGGAGTCCTTCCCCTCCCCTCTGTTCTCCTCCCATCTCCTCCCCTCCCCTCTCCTCCCCTTTCCTCAGAAAATATACACTGTGACTTCTATTTACTTTACCTGTCACCCTGCTCCTGCCAGCTCCTGCAGTGGGCACCTTGATTGCAGAGTCCATACCTTGTTCCCCATGCCCAGGGCTGGATGACAGCACTGCTGACTTACTATTTGGTGCCTCTTCAACCTCCAGCTGGAGCCTATACTTTGACAGATATCTTAGTCACCTCCTTCATGGCTTCTATATGGATCTTTCTCCACAGATCTTCCCTCCACCTGATGGATATCCCAGTGATACCTCAGACTTAGTTTGAAAATGGAGTCTTGTTCTTGACTGGCTTCCTATCCCCTAGGATTGTATATTACAGACACCTACAACTAAGGGCTGCAAAAGTGACCTGCCCACATTTGTTCACCTGCAGTTATTCCAGGATATCATGACACCATCTATTCAACAGCCTCTCTCACCCTCTGAGGTCCTCTACATGAAGCTGGAATGAGGAGGGGCCTAAGAACCTGTCCTCTGTTTTATGCAGATGCCAGCATGGGGCAGGTACAGGCGCCCTTGCTTCTCAGCACCAATCCCACTTCAACCCTGTGCAGACAAGAGAAGAGGAGGGTGTTCTTAACACTCATAATCAGGTTCTTAAGATTTATTTTAAGATATATCTCAGTTTCTATTACAGCTGAATATTAAGATGGTTTCATCTGTCTTTCAATTTGTGAGGTAACAGTGAGCATCCTCTACCTCCTTCACCATGATTCAAACCACTACCTTCCAAATTCATGGCTGTCTCCTAAAACCTGAGGATAGGCAGCTCTCTCCAACACTGAGAGCTGAGGTAAACGAGACAGTAGTATTTAGTTGCTAATGCTCTATTTTGGGGATCTCTGTCTATATAGACATCCACTAATCTACACGATGGGGCAAAAGTAGTTTTATATTGTGAGTATGTGAAACACAGTTATTTTTGTTATTATTTATTAATTATTGTATTTTCCATCCAAAAAAACTATAAACCTATTTTTGCCTCACCCTATATAGATAGTATAGTCTTTTATGTTATATTTTAAAGTCCATTTTCTGTGTCTTGATGCCTGAAGGTATGAGGTCTAATACTTGATAATGTCTCTTTCGGCACACCAGTTCTTCTACACAGGCTACTTAATCATCATTGACCTAATGACTCCAAATGGTAGATGTATTACCAAAAGTTTCTTAACAAACTGAGTGGTTTAGCACAACAGGAATGAATTCTCTCACAGTTATGGATGCTAGAAGTCCTAAATCAAGGTGTCAGTGGAATTGGTTCCTTCTGGAGGCTCTGAGGGAGAATCTACTCTGTGCCTCTCTCCTTGCTTCTGCTGGTGGCCAGGAATCCTTGATATTCCTTGGCTTATAGACATATCACCCCAATTTCTGTCACTTTCACATGGTATTCTCCCTGTGATTTCTGACTATATCTCTTTCCAAATTTCCTTCTTGTTATGAGAATACCAGTTATTGGATAAGGATCCACCCAAATCCAGTATTACCTCATCTTAATTCATCTTTAAACACTCAATTTCCAAATAAGATCACACTTAAGGTACCTGAAATTATAACTTCAACATTTCTTTTTTGGGGGGAGGAGAGGAGGAGGAGACACAACCCATTAATAGTATTATTCAATGTTCTCAATCTCATGTTAAATTTAGAATCAGAGAGTAACTAATACAAAGATATTGAATAGGTGGCATAATTCAGTGTTTTTAAAAAATATATATTTTATTGATTTTTTTTTACATAGAGGAAGGGAGAAAGATAGCTAGAAACATCGATGAGAGAGAAACATCAACCAGCTGCCTCTTGCACATCCCCTACTGGGGATGTGCCCACAACCAACGTACATGCCCTTGACCGGAATTGAACCCGGGACCCTTCAGTCTCCAAGCCGATGCTCTATCCATTGAGCCAAACCAGTCTCGGCACATAATTCAGTTTTTAATTTGCCTGCTTGTACTAGGCCTGCTTGTACTAGGCCTTCATTTCTAAGCCTGCAGACAGTTATTATACCCAATTTTACAAGCAGAGATTTGGATCATTTAAGTAGCTTGCCAAGAGTCACATAGGTAGGAAGTAACAGATCTGAGAATCAATCCAATAATTCTCACTCAATTCAATATACCAGAACATCTTTGGGATACCTCACCACTCTCACTTCCTTTATACTCTCCCCTCATACACTTAACTGCAGCTGAGAGTCATGGCTACAAAGAACAGGTTACTGGAATTTCCTAAGTGAGGGCATAAAATTAATCATTGGGATCACAGCACTGCAACTCAATGTCTCTCAGTGGGTGACAATCTGATGAGAAAGATCAAATCTTCATCTTCTTTCTGGAGGCCAAAGAAAAGTAGCATGGAAAAACCATGTAAGGAGTAAATGTATTAAAGAGCAATATATGTTACAACTAATTACTTCCCTACAGCGTGTTGCATGCGAGCTGAAGCCACTTTTCTGTTCAAACAGGCACCTTACTGGGAAGGAGACTTTGTGACCATAATGGGGAGGCACCTGTCTCAGCCAAATCCATACAATGGTTATTTAAATTGGTTTATTCTTGCTCAAAATAAAGAAACCAAAAGCATTACTTCCTGAGAGTTGCTGTGCCCTCTTCCTCAACATCAAAGTTGTGTCATACACGCACTCATCGGTGCCTTATAGACACAGCACCAGAACACAGAGACCTTCAAGCAATGCATAAGCCACAGCAACTTCCTCAAATCAGTGCAAGGCAATGTGAGAAACCACTCAGCCCAATGCCACTAATTAGATTGAAGCAAAACTTACAAGTTAAAGTTGTTTTGCTCATATTACCCCAAAAGAATAATACAGAAGTAGGAACATGGCTTTGGAGGCAAGTCAAGTAAAATGCCAACCCCACCAATACCATGCACTAATTATGGGGATCTAGGTGCATTACTTCTCTGTTTGAAGCCGCAGTTTCCTTATTGCAAAATGGAGATACTGACATGAACCTCATAGAGCTGTTATAAGGAATATCAACATTCCACTCTGACCTTGATTCGTAACATAGACTATAAGCTCTGGGTAGGAATAAAATATTTTTTATTTTTTTATTTATCTTATTTATCTCATCCCATGTAATAATATTTCTTTTTAAAAAGTCATGGCTTAAATAATAAATGGGAGCAGAGATCTGGCAGAGGCATCAGGATGGGAAAACAAATGACAGGTTGAGAAAACACCACATTGATAGGACATACTAATTTCTTTAATGTGCTCAATATTATCCAACTGAATAAAACGCACAAACATACACACACACACGTACACACACACTCACACACACGGGACTGGATGGGGTTAGGGAACAATTTGTACTACTTTATCACATTGTTACTAGTAATATTTTCTCACACCTTATTTATGTCTTCAAATATCTTATGCTCAACTTTATCTTATGCTCAACTTTATGAGACAACATCCTAAAGGGCAGGATAAAGTTCTACTCACACATGCAACCCTTGACTGAGTGTGTTGAAGAAATGACAAAAAAACAACTTTTGATTTGAGCCATCTGAAGGAGCGCCATCTAGTGGCCAATGATTCAAAGAGCATCTCCACAGGCAATTAAGCAACTCAAACTCATCTTGAAATAGAGGTAACAGCAGAAGTAATGTATACTCTCTATACAAACCCTGAAATAAAGTTTGTAAGACTGATACAATACAAAATGGTATTTAAGCCAAAATCAAAGCTTAAGCAAAGGTATTTTTGGTTGTATTTTTATTCAGTGAAAGTATCAATCCATTTCACAAACAACTTTACAGGAAGAATGGAGTAATTCATCATGTAAGTTAAAATTCATTAAAAAAAAGCTCTAAAATTAGTTAAATACAACTATGCAAATACATTATTAGTATAAAAAACTCTTAAAATAAATAGTATCAGTGTTAATTTGTAAACAAAACTGCCAGTAACAACCATTTGCTTAATGACAACAAATCTGCATTGTTTTAAAATACTAAAGATATAATAAAGAGAATATTGACCATTTTTTTTCTTAATATATAATACTCAATATCTAAAATAATGTTATCAATAACAGATTGGTGTTGTCATAGGCGTGTTGAACAATCTTTTTCATAGTACTGGGGCATCATGTCGCTGCAGAAGGCAAACTTTTCAAAAGTCTTCTCCTAGCTGTGATCCTTGCACACCGGGGGCACTCAGAGGACTGGAAGCACTGCTTGTGAAAGCAAGCTCTGCACTCTGCAAGCAAGAAGACAGGCATAAGTAAAGGCGCTATCTTGTTTTCTCAGATATGTATACTCATCCCCAAGAAAGAAAGGATCTGAATCCAGAAACTAGATTCTTAAAAAAAAAAAAAAAAAAAAAAATCAGAAAGATTAAAACTCAGAGGTCATTATAAAGTCTTCAACAGGTCATGAACATTGATCTCTGAGCCCGATGAGTGGATGCTGCAGTGGCCCCCAATTCTGCCCAAGGGACATTCTCCAAGTTGATGAGGATATTGTTAGCCAATGGCTCAGGAGGTGGTGTCCTTTCCCTGGAAATGGCCCAATTGGGAGAGCTGCCTTGCTCAAGGTCATGTCCCCTTGTTAGCACCAGCAGGTTGTGTGACTGACTGGTCAATGTGGGTTTTAAAGATGTGGCTGGCCCCCTTTCTCAATTTGAAACAATGCTGAAGGCCATCCCTGCTTCAGAGCTCCTCGTGAGATGCGCTAAGCCTTCACTGCAACCACATCACAGCTCAGCTTCTCCCTCTGCTCAGCCTTGCTGTCTTCACACCTCCATGGGTGTTGAGCCTAAGAATGTGCCACAGTGAATATATATATATATTTATTAGAGAGGAAGGGAGAGAGAGAGAGAATTAGAAACATCAACAATGAGAGAGAATCACACCCCCTAGTGGGGATTGAGCCTACAACCTGGGCATATGCCCTTGACCAGAATCAAACCTGGGATCCTTCAGTCTGCAGTCCAATGCCCTATCTGTTGAGCCAAACAGGCCAGGGCAAGCTTAAGCTAATTTTGTGCTTATTATTAAACTTACTAGAGGCCTGGTGCATGAAATTCATGCATGGGGGGAGGAGGGGAGGGTGTCCCTCAGTCCAGCCTGCACCTCTCTAATCTGGGATTTCTCAAGGGAAATCTGACTGCCCATTTAGGCCCGATCCCTCTCACAATCCAGGACTGCTGGCTCCCAACTGTTCGCCTACCTGCCTGCCTGATTGCCCCTTACCACTTCTGCCTACCAGCCTGATCACCCCTTAACCATTCCCCTGCCAACCTGATCAATGCATAACTGCTCCCTGCTGGCCTGATTGGCCCTAAATGCCCTCCCCTGCAGACCTGATTGTCCCCAACTGCCCATCCTTGTAGGCATGGTCCCCCTCAACTGCCCTCCCCTGCAGGCCTGATCTCCCCCAACTGCCCTCCTCTCTTGGCCTAGTCACCCCTAACTGCCCTCCCCTGCAGGCCATCTTCTGATAGCCATCTTATGACCACACGGGGGCAGCCATCTTTGACCACATGGGGGTGGCCATCTTATGTGTTGGAGTGATCAATTTGCATATTACTCTTTTATCAGATAGGATGTTAACTCTGCACTTATTAACTAGAGGCCCGGTGCATGAAAATTCATGCTTTGGAGTGGGGGAGTCACTCAGCCTGGTCTGCCCCTTCTCACAGTCCAGGAGCCCTTAGGGGTGGGAGGTGACCCAGTGATCAGGGGAAGGCAACACTCCCATCATTCCTGTGCTGCTGCCACTGCTGGCAGCACAAGCCTTGGCTGGCTTTGATTACCTGAGCCTTGGGTGGCCCTGGGTAGCTGGGCAGCCTCCATCCTAGGCTTACCTGTGTCTTGAGCCAGCCCTAGGCAGCTGGAAGGCTGAGGGTAGGTTCGGCCATACCATGTGCCTTCCCCTCATCCTCAGCGGGGGTGAAAGGACGGGGGACTCTGGTGGGGCAGAGGGGACTGGGTGTCGTCATCTTGTGGCTATGGGTGCCACCATCTTTGTGATGGTGTGACGGTCCATTTGCATATTTCCTCTTTATTAGATAGGATAAGCTTATGTTATTCATTTATTAAGATACCTGAACATCTTCTACACATTGTGATCTGAAATGGGAAGATGACAGCTGCACTCCGACAAAACTCACAAATGAAGCCCTTTCCTTGACACAGCTGTAAGAGGAACCAAAGAGTTAAAATCTTCATTAGTAATATCTCTTTTGATGGAGAATCTTAGTCACTACTTTTACAGAACTTGATAAGTAGCCATTTTAAAATGTCTAAAATTCCAGCCTCTGAAAGGAACGAGGTGTTATATTCTGCTGCAATGACTGGATGAGAACAATAAATGTACATTCATTTTGCATGGAAAAATGTCACATTGATTTGGATTAAAGCACCAGAGCAAGATCATGATTTTTAAACATGGCCTCTTACATTATCCAATTTTGTTTCTAATAGCTGCACTGCAATTCTCCAATCCCTATAGACAAAGAGCTCCTGCTTCATTGGATCCTGAGTTGACATTACTGCATTTGGCACAGATGGGACAGATGGGAATCCAGACTAAGAAGTCGCTTAGCCCAGGCTTGCATCCCGGCCCTGAGACTTACCACCAGGATTACCTAGACCACATGTGTCAAACACAAGGCCCGCGGGCCAAATCCGTCCCACCAGGCCTTGCAATGTGGCCCGCACCGCGCTGTCATCGCTGCACTCCGCTGCATTTCCATCACAATGACAGTTTATGACTGTTCAGTAAACCATTCGGCCCGAGATTTAGGCTGGATTTTAGATTTTGGCCCCTTCTCTGATTGAGTTCGACACCCCTAACCTAGACTCTTTTAACAGCTGTGAACCTCATTTTTCCCATCGGGAAAAGGCATTGCCACCTCTTTCTTCAGGATTTGTAAAAGTTAAATGATATGAAGTGCAGAATACCTAGCACAAGCCTGAAACACAAGAGGCAGTTCAGGGACTCACCTGCCCCTTGTGAACCTCACCTCACAGCCAGCCACATGAGAAAGGGAAGCGTTCAGAATGTCCTTGAGCGCGGGTGCCAGCAGCCCTTTCTTGACCCTGACCAGGTCCTCCAGGGAGAACAGGTAGAGCTTATCCGTCAAATGCATGGGCACCTGCTCAAACTCTTTTAATGTACTGCCATAGAGAAAACAAAAAGGATTCAAGAACCCACCCACACAGGCTGGGGGAGAAGAGGGAAAGGGGTGAGCAGGTAGTAGTTTTCTCCTGGCATTCACACTTACTTTTTTTTAACTCAATTTTTTTAAAAGAGCCCCAGGAACAAGTTAATCTTACTCATTCAACATCTTTAGATTTTGCAAGTTCACTTGGAAGCCAAGGTAAAATCCCATACTGATTTCAAAAACTGAACCAGTAGAGAAATGTGCTTCTTGCAGACTCACCAGGCAAACAAAACAAAACAAAACAAAACAAAACAAAAAACCACAGAATATTATTTCAAGTCTTAAAACTGTGTACTGGGATAAAACTCACTACCTTACTGATTCCACCTAAATTTCAAGTCTGTCACTGACAGTTGCTCCAGATGGCAGAAAAATAATGGTTCAGGCATATAACTCCCAAATCCCTGAGTTCAAAACTAAGCTTAAGACTATCCATCTGTGGGCTGGTCACAGGCACTTGGATGCACCAACAACATTCAAAACTGAACAAAACCTTCTCCAAATCCTCTGGACCTCCTCCTAAACTCCCTAAATCAGTGATGAGACGCATCACCACTCACTGCATTCCCAAGGCAGCCACTGCCTACACTGGACCTGAAGTTCTAGTGATGCCAAACCATATTTAATTCTCCATCCAGCCTGGGTACTCCCTCAGCCTGCTTCCATTCCCAGCTCGGGCTTTATCTCTGGAAGCCTTACCTGCTCCCTTTCCTTATGAACAAAATGCCCCTCTGCATGCTCAAGGCTCTGTACCTATGTACCAAACACACAATCCAGCAATGGACTAGTGTGCTGATTCCCTCCCTAGATCTAACATGAATCCTGTTTTGAGAAATAGCCAGTCAAAGAAAGATAAATATCACATGATCTCACTCATTTATTGAATACTTGAGGCCCGGTGCATAAAATTCAAGTACAGCGGTGTGTGTCCCTCAGCCCAGCCTGCCCCTTCTCCTATCTGGGATCCCTCTCACAATCCAGGACTGCTGGCTCCCAACTGCTCACCTGCCTGTCTTTCTGACTGCCCCTAACTGCTTCTGCCTGCCAGCCTGATCACCCCCTAACCACTCCCCTGTCAGCCTGTTTGCACCTAACTCCCTTCCCTGCAAACCTGGGTTCCCTACAACTGCCCTTCTCTGCAGGCCCGGTTGTCCTCAACTTCCCTTCTCTGCCAGCCTGGTCACCCCTAACTGCCCTCCCTTGCTTGATTGCCCCCAACTGCCTTCCCTTGCAGCCCTGGTCCCTCCCAACTTCTCTCCCCTGCTGACCATTTTGTGGTGGCCATCTGTGTCCACATGGGGCAGCCATCTTGTGTGTTGGAGTCATGGTCAATTTGCATATTACTCTTTTATTAGATAGGATTTTATAGAAGGGCTCTGAACCTATGTACAGAGTATTTGTTATCCTAGTGTTTCTGGAACCAATCCCCCTCCCAATACTGAGGGGAAACTAAGAGGCCCAGTGTATGGGAGGGGCCAGGCCAGGAGGCACACAGAGGATTAGCAAATGTGTGGAGGTTATCAGTGCTCCCAACTCACATGCCCGACTGTCCCAGCCAACAGTGGTACCTTTCAGCAAATCTGCAGGTTTTCAATAGCTTCTTGATATGAAACAGCTGCTCCTGGATTTCCTAATGTCAGAAACAAAATGGGATACTCATAATGTAATTAATGACACTGGAAATGTATGTCAAATTTAAATGTTATTTCTAACCTAGAAATGTTACAACACTATAAAACAAGCCTTTGAAGTAAAGTCTATTTAGCAAGGGTTGAAGACTGAGTCCTGAGACTTGCATATAGAGTGGATACTTCTAGAGGCCTAATGTACAGCATGATGACTATAGTTAACAATACTGTATTGAATGTTGGGAATTTGTTAACAGATTTGTGGCAGCAGACCCTTTCAGCAGCTGGACTGGCTTCCCCCAAAGGCCGCTGCTCACCTTCACTCTGTCCAGCTCCTTGGCCTTTGCACACCTGCTCTGGCTGATGTTCAGCAAATTGAAAATGGGCTGGTGCCATATACTATCCAGCAGCCATTTGGAGAAATTGCTGACGTAGTACTTCCTGAAGTCCCAGGCGGTGAGGATCCGCGCAGGGATGCAGGACTCGGCGTAAGAGTGGCAGCAGTCGCAGAAATACTTGCCCAGGTATTCGCAGTAGCGGAGCCGCTTCACAAACTCTGTGGAGCACACAGGGGATGAGCACCAATCAGCTAACGCTGAAATCTACCTTGTGGTCCTACTTCCAATTTCATGCAAGGCTCAATGTTGATTGCTGATTACATGCTGCTAAAGCCATACTCAACCTCACAGCAGCTGGGAAAGCGGGGGCGGCAGGGACTGGAGGCCTTAAATCTTGGCCATTCATGCACTTTGCTTGTGTGGAACAGATGTCGGAAACATAGAACCTTCCCAACCTACTGCTGGATTTGGAAGATGGGCGGGGTGAACTGCAGGGAGACTTAGGGTCTGCCATCTGGCGGGAGTCCAGACTGGGTCTCTCATTGGCAGGAAGCTAAAGGAGTTGGGGGTGGGCGAGTAGGAATTTCTCCTGGCTGACATGAGGCCACAGAGAGAAACTCAAAATGGAATTATAGGATATTATACATATGAGAAGTGCTTTATAAATTCTAAAACACTATATATACATTAAAAAGGTAGTAACCAAAAGAATTCCTGAATAAATCAGTGAGAAACAAATATAAAACCCAGATTAAGAACAGGCAATGCATGGAGTGGAGAAATGCTTATAACCAGTAACGATGTGAAAAGCACACCATCTCAGTAATGATCAAAGGCATGCATATTAAAAGACTGAAATACTTGATTTTGCCTCAGACTGTCACAAATTTAGAAAATCCAGAGCAGCTGAGGCATGGAGAATGGGCACTCATTCACGTGCTGACAGGAGCCTGCCCCAGAGGAGGACACTTCCATGCTATACTTTAATTTTTAGCTATGCAGCATGAATCCTAATGCTGACATCTGACAGAAATGCGAACGTGCACAAGTGGAGATATAGAATGGTTCTGGTTACAGCATATTTATAATGAAGTGGGAGCAATCTACTAGTAAACACCCATTAAGAAGCACCTGGCTAAATAAATTTGGTGCACTCCACAGTGAAATGCAAGAGAGCTTATGCAATACATGGAAGAGCACAGGCAGTGAACATCCATTTACAGGTATGTAGCACATGATCTTGATTTTGTTTTTAAAAAAGAATGCATGCACAGTCCAAAAAGCTAACACTCCTGGAAGGTAGGGAGGGGGAAGGGTCTTTGCTTTTTGCACTTTTAATTTGCTGAAATAAGCATGCATTGCTCTTGGGAGCACCTTCAATAAAATATACTGATAAGAAAAAGGTACAGAGACTAATGTAACAAATACCTGGGTACCCATCACCCAGCCTGAAGAAAGAAAACAGAGATTCAGTTAAGTCTCCTATGTGCCCCTTCCTCAACAGTAGGGTCTATCTAACATGAGCCAAGGTTCATATTTATCACTCACTATTTGACTCCTATTAGTTGACAGATATTGTGAGAATTAAAGGAAACAATGGTGGCAAAACAGCTCCCACAGTATAGAGCACACTGTAGATTCAGAATATAGTTTCCCTACAAGGACTTTACAAATAATCAAGGTCTGAGTGACCACAGAAGCAAACCTTTATTAAACATTTAGTCTGTGTATGCACTGGTTAAATGTCTTACGCATGCCTGTATCAGTTTGTGCTTGAACCTCTATGAGGTGAGGACTGGTGCTTCCCCTACTTTACTGATGAATGCACAATATAGTAAGGTTAAACCACATACCACAGACAAAAACAAAACAAACAAACAAAAAAAACACACACAACAAAACAGTAAGCAGGCAAGCAGGATTCCAACTCTAGTCTGGACTGGGAAGCTCCAGTTTTAGCCATCACATCCCACTTCCCATCTGCCACAGTCCATGGATGGGAAGGGCAAGAAATGAATGTCTCTGCACAGATTATCCTCACACCCAGTCACACTCACAGTTTGACTTTTAAATACAGACAAACAAATACTTGATTCTTATTATCTGTAGTAGTTAATGTTCTGGAAAGTTGCCATAAACACTGAATTGAATATAAAGCACTGCTCCTGAGGGAAATACAAGGTTAAGTTCCTATAAGTCTCTGGGAAAAGTATTTTTATCAACCGATCAACACATAAATTTGTTTTATTTGTGTTTTTTGTTTAAAGGCATGTTATTCAATATATTTTGCTGATTCATATAATTGAATTCAGGGCCAAAAGCACTGTGACTCTGCCTGAAAGAAACATCTCTAATACATACATTTTTCTGTAAGGCAAACAGCCTTCTTGTGCTTAGAAACACTAGACAGCACCTTAGCACTATGTTTGAGGGCATTGTAAATAGCAAAACCACCAAAAAAAGTATAAAATATTTTTTAAAAGAGATACTAAATAGACTGTCGAAAGGACTTGTTCACTGTATGAACTAAAGGAAAAGGCAAAGCATTGTTTTGTTCAACTTCAGCTGGGAACGTGTGCAACAGGAAACTCAAATTTCAGGCAAATCAAATTTTTTGGTGTTTTGTGCATATCTGTGCATGACAAAAACATGGTAAGCATTGATTTTGGAGTTACAAATACATTTTAGGGAACATGAGAATTCACAAATATGGAATTTGTGAATAATGAGGATAATTGTAAGTACATATATATATACATACACTATTATTTTTAAAAATGTATTTTTTATTGATTTCAGAGAAGAAGGGAGAGGGAGAGAGACATAGAAACATCAATGATGAGAGAGAATCATTGATCGGCTGCCTTCTGTATGCCCCCTACCACAGCCCAGGCATGTGCTCTGACCTGGAATCAAATCATGGTCTTCTGGTTCATAGGTTGATGCTTAACCACTGAGCCATGCCAGCAAGGCCATACATTATTATTAAACTCTTAATTATGTGACATCTCTCTAGGGTTGACAAATCATTTGTTAAAAACTTATTAAGTACCTGATAATTATGTCTGAGTTCTCAAACTTGAAACTTTGAAAAATCTATTATATTGCATCTATTCTCCCCCACCCAGATTAAAATCTCTGGTGTAGCAGATAATGAGTATTATTTTGCTTATGATAGGATTCCAATACATTTTATACTAAACTATTGTAGAAGCCTGGTGCATGACATTCATGCACTAGGAGGGGTGGATCCCTTCAGCTTGGCCTGTTTGCCCTCTAGCAGTCTGGGACATCCCTCGGGAGATGTCAGCCTGCCAGCTTAGGCCCCTGAGGGGTTCTTAGCACTGCTACAGAGGCAGGAGGGGCTCCCACCACCACCACTGCGCTTGCCAGCCATGAGCCTAGATTCTGGAGCGCACTGGCCACCAGGGGGCAGCTCCTGCATTAAGTGTCTGCCCCGTGGTGGTCAGTGAGTGTCATAGCAACTGGCCATTCCACCGCTTGGTTGATTTGCATATTAACCTTTTATTATATAGTATGGACAAAAAAGGAGATATACCCTGGCTCTTATACTATACATTTTTTTAAAATAATTTGAAATGTATACTTTAATACTCTGTCTTTTTTTTTTTTTAAATATATTTTATTGATTTTTCACAGAGAGGAAGAAAGAGGGATAGAGAGCTAGAAACATCGATGAGAGAGATACATCGACCAGCTGCCTCTTGCACACCCCCACTGGGGATGTGCCCGGAATCAAGGTACGTGCCCTTGACCAGAATCAAACCTGGGACCTTTCAGTCCACAGGCCGATGCTCTATCCACTGAGCCAAACCAGTTTCGGCTGTACTATACATTTTTATATTTATTTATTTATTTTATTATTTTTTTTAAAAAAAGATTTGAGGTATTCATTTATTTCTCATTTGTACTATACATTTTTAATCAAACTTTCCCTTTCTCCTCCCCATCAAGATTCTCCCATCATTTCAGCAAGATGGGAGAAAAAAAATAAAGGGCCTATAAATTTTCTGGATATAATTCATCTTTCCCTAACATCTAAAATACTAACATTTCAATAACCAATCATTCATTCATCAGATTTTATGGAATATATACTAAGCATTATACGATCAATTCAGAATAAATTATGTCCATCTTTTTTTTTTTCTTCAATCCTTTAATTAAAACAGAACAAAATAAAAGACCTGAAATCTGGTGCTTGACTAGGAGTGACTTTTTACACCAAGGGATATTTGGAAATGTATAGAGACTTTTTGGTTGTTACAATGCATAGTTGCTAATGATGCTGCTAAATATCCAACAGTGCATCAGACAGCAACCCAGACAAAATCAATAGTACTAATCAATAGTACCCTGCTCTAAACCACAATTGTTCTCATTTTAGGAAAAGTCAAAATTATAAGGGGGGCAGGGGAAAGGAAGCAAAAATCTACAATAGCACTATCAATAGAACTTTCTGTGAGGATGGAAATATTCTATATCTGTGCTGTCTATTGTAATATAGTATCTACTAGCCACATGTGGCTATTGAGCACTTAAAATGTAGCTAGCATCACTGAAGTACTGGATTTTAAATTTAAATTAATTTTTTTCTGGTAACTCTGCGCCTCCATTGGTTCTTTTCCTTTATGCTTCTATCTGTCTTTTTTGTTTTGTGGTATTCCATATATCTTTCCTCTGTTTCTTCTTTCTTTAAGCTTTGTCTTGTTTGGGGAATTTCTGTGTGTGGTTGCCATTAGTTTTATAAAAAGTGAAGTTGCATATATTCCATATTTTTTTCCTTTTAGAATATAGTCTTCATCTTCCTTTGCTTGTCCACACCTGTCCCTCTTCTCCTTGTATGTCTTTATTGTCACACATTATCCTTGTTTATGCTGTGAGTTTTTGGCAATCCTACTGGTAGTGTTACGATCTTATGTACTTTTTTTTCAGGTAGCATTTCCTGCAATCGAGGTTTTCCAGTGATAAAATCCCTCAGCTTCTGTATGTCTGGGAATGTTCTTATTTCTCCTTCATATTTAAAGGATAATTTTTCTGGATATAATATGCATGGCTGGTAATTTCTCTCTTTCAGGTGTTTGAATATTTGGTTCCACTCTCTTCTTGCTTATAGAGTTTATGCTGAGAAGTCAGGTGAAATTCTGGTGGGATTTCCTTTGTAGGTCACTTTCTTCTTTTCCCTGAATGCCTTGAG